CAAAACCAGATTTAAACAATATGTATTCAGAAATCCAGCCATACAGAAAGTACTGGAAGGAAAACTTCAACCTAAGGAAGTTAACCACACTCACAAAACATAAGCAATAGATAATACCACTTTATCAAAAGCCAAAAAAGGGGAAACCCATACACAATACCACCAAACACAAATCCAAAACAAACAAGAATCAACAATCAATGGTCATTAATATCCCTCAGTAACAATGGTCTTAACTCGGCTATAAAAAAAACACAGGCTAGCAGAATGGATATGAAGACAGAATCCATTCTTCTGTTGCATACAAGAAACACACCTCAACTTCAAAGACAGACATTACCTCAGAGTAAAGGTTTGGGAAAAGATTGTACCTAAGGAACAAGCTTGTATAGCAATCCTAATATCTAACAAATTAGACTTCAAACTAAAATTAATCAAAAGAGATGAAGAAGGTCATTTCATATTCATCACAGGAAAAATCCATCAAGATGAAGTCTCAATTCTGAAAATCTATGCCCCAAATACAAAGGCACCCACATCCATATAAGAAACATTACTAAAAGTCAAATCACACATAAAAATTCACACAATTATAGTGGGAGATTTCAACACCCCATTCTCATTACTGGACAGGACTACCAGACAACTTTATATGGAAAAACAAAAAACCCAGGATAGCCAAAACAATCCCAGAGGCATCACCATCCGTGACTTCAAGCTCTACTATAGAGCTATAGTAATGAAAGCAGGTTGGTATTGGCACAAAAATAGATAGGTAGATCAATGGAATTGAAGACCCTGATATTAATCCACACACCTACGAACACCTGATTTTGACAAAGAAGCTAAAATTATACAATGTAAAAAGAAAGTACCTTCATCAAATGGTGCTGGCATAACTGGATGCTGACATGTAGAAGACTGCAGATAGATCCATACCTATCTTCATGCACAAAACTTAAGTCCAAATGGATCAAAGACCTCAACATAAATCCAGCCACATTGAACCTCTTAGAAGACAAAGTGGGAGGTACTCTTGAACAAAATGGTACAGGAGACCGCTTCCTGAACATAACGCCAGTAGCACAGACACTGAGATTGACAATTAATAAATGGGACCTCCTGAAACTGAGAAGCTTCTGAAAGGCAAAGGACACAGGCAATAAGACAAAACTGCAACCCACAGAATAGAAAAAGTTATTCACCAACCCCAGAGGGCTGATTTCCCAAATATGCAAAGAACTCAAGAAGCTAGTCACCAAAACACCAAATAACCCAATTAAAAGAGGATGGGAGATGAGGACATAGGGGAGCAGGTAGGTTGAGTCGGGGGAAGAATAGAGGAGAGCAGGGTGAGAGATACCATAATAGAGGGAGTCAATTTAGGTTTGAGAAGAGATCTGGCACTAGTGAGATTTCCAGAGATCTACAAGGATGACACCAACTGGCAAACTAAGCAATAGTGAAGAAACTACCTTAAATGCCTCTTCCTGATAATGAGTTTGACACTACCTTATATGCCATCCTAGAACCTCCATCAAGTGATAGATGGAAGCAGAGGCAGACACCCACAGCTAAACACTGAACCCCTGGACCCAGTGACAGAGAGGGAGGAGTGATGAGCAAAGGAGTAAAGACTAGACTGGTGAAACCCAGAGAATCAGCTGACCTGAGTAAGGGGGGAGATCTTGGACCCCAGACTGATGGCTGAGAGGCCAGAATGGGACTGATCCAGACCCCCTGAATGTGGGTGTCAGTGAGGAGGCCTAGGCAATCTAGGGGGCTTTGGGTAGTACATCAGTATTTATACCTGGCACACAAATGGACTTTGCATGCCCATCCCACAATGAGGGATGCTCTCTCAGCCTGGACACTTGGGGGATGGCCTAGGCCCTGCCCTGAATGAAATGACAGGCTCTGGAGATCCCCCATGGAGAGCCTCACCCTCCCTTGGAATGGAGTTAAAATTGGGGTGGGGTGGGGGAGGAGGGGGAGGGAGAGGGACCTGTGACTGACATGTGAAGCAAGCTTGTTTCTAATTTAAATAAAAATATTTTTAAAAAAGTAAAAAAATAAAATAAAAATAGAGATACCCATAATAGAGGGAGCCATTAAAGGTTTAAAGAGAAATCTGGCACTAGAGAAATGTCCAGAAATGCACAAGGATGACTCTAACTAAGAATCTAAGCAATGGTGGAGAGGCTACCTTAAATACCCTTCCCCTATAATGAGATTGATGACTACCTTAAATGCCATCCTAGAGCCTTCATCCAGTAGCTGATGGAAGCAGAAGCAGAGATCCATAGCTGAACACTGTGGAGAGGGAGGAGTGATGAGTAAAGGGATCAAGACTAGGCTAGAGATACCCACAGAAACAGCTGACCTGAGCAAGTGGGAGCTCATGGATTTCAGAATGACAGCTGGGGAACCAGCATAGGAATGAACCAGGGAACTGGAGCCGTCTCCATAACACCTGTCCTACTTGTTCTTCATATAACCAAACTCCATTACCTCAGGGAGTAACCTGGATGGGTTTCATTTTTCAGAGTTTGGAAAATTAAAGTATATACATCATATCATAGATACATATTCTGGATTTGAGCTTTAAGTTCTAAAAAGGCTGATTCTCTAATTATGCATTTATTAAAAGTAATGACTATTATGGGATACCTATACAAATTAAAACTGACAGTGCTCTAGCATTTGTCTCTAGTAAAACTGTGGGGACACCAGACCTTGAACAGAGACCCACTTCCCCTTAGGCCTGGGAGCAGGCAGCTGTGAGATAATGTTTACTGAAAACAATTCAGTGCTATAAAGCTCTCTAAGGCTAGATGCCTCTTCCTGCTCCCTGCTGTGTCTCCCCCGATTCTGGGGCCGGAGATTAAACCACCAGCCAGAAGGGTGAGAAGTCTGGGAAAAATTGTATGTAGATGGATGGCAGAAGTCCTTAAAAAGGGAAGCGTTTTTTTCTTGGGAGTCTCCTCCTAAGCTGACTTGGGAAGCATAAAGTTTTCTTAAAGCAACCGACCAGTCTCTGTGTCATCTATCCCGACCACCTCGCTACATTCTCGGATGCAGGCTGCACAGCAGGTGTGACATAAAATGACACAGCTTTTTGCATATTACAAAAAAAAGAGTATATTACAGGCACACCACACAATCCTACAGGGCAAACAGTTATAGAAAGATATAATCATACTTTAAAAGAAATACTCAATAAACAGAAAGGGGTAATAAAGACCTCCAGGAATGGATTACATAGTGCTTTATTAACTTTAGATTTTTTTAATGCTAATGAACAAAAAAACAACAGCTGCTGTGAGACACCGGATTGTGGGAAAAAGCTGAATTAAACCAGCCTATAAATTTTAAGGATCTATTAACTTATGAATGGAAGTCAGGAAATGTGTTGCATTGGGGGTGAGGTCATGCCTTTGTTGCCTGCAGGAAACAAAAAGCTATGGATTACTTGAAAATCAGATTTGACTGGGGTAGACCACCTGAAAATCTTGGCTGCAAATATGAAGGAAAGAAAACCTAGAATGCAGGTGACTTATATGCGGATCCCTCTCATACAGTTCTGAGACAAATCTTGATGGCTACAGAGTCCTCATAACTTACCATTACATACCATCCTTTCAGAGGGCATGGATGGAGATTCATATTATAGGTTGGTTATGCAGTTCAAACAGACTTATAAAGTTGACAGATGCCTTTTCCCTACTCAGAGAATCATCTTTAGCTGATTTGTGCACATTGTACATTCCATTCTTGTGTTAATGCAGATATGCAGGTTACCTTTAATATTAAGTCTGTGTTTTCAGAACAGAAGGACCAGACACCAATGAAGACAAGACAAGTAGCACAAGTGATCCAGCCTCTCAGAATGCCTCCATTGCCATTTCCTCAAAAATCTGCATCCAGGATAACTTCAAAGCAGCTAAGATGGCCCAACCTCAGAGACTACTCCAGCCAGGATTTCAGTTAAGCCCTTCATTCTACCATCATACAAAGACTGGACAACAAATGATACAGCAAGCTCACCTAGGACTTGACCATTATCCGAATTTCCTCAGGGTGCCCTTAAGATGCCGTCACCCCCAGACAACAGGAAGCAAGTTTAAGAACATGACACCCACATTCCCAAGAGATGGGGTGGGTGGTTTGGGGTCATTCCGTGGGTTATGGATGTTTGTCATTGATTAGAAGGGATGGTTATTATTGGTCATGGTCAGAGAGGAAACTAAAAAAAGGAGGTTAGGTTAAAGGATCTCTTTAATTTTCTTTCCTGTATCCTTCTTTCCTATCTTGTGTTGGGGGGTGAGGAGGAAAAGGAATGCACAGAAAAAAAAGAAGAGATATAAGAATGAGAGGACAAAAGGGTAGATTCTTGAATCTGTTTTTAAACTAAGAAGTAACTACTAGTCTCAAATATTTTACATTGGTGTGGATTTTTGTATGTTGATATACATCTAATGTTATTTTTGTTACAACAGTGGTGGTGCATGAAGCCGGGCCTTTGGTTGATGATCTGCAGCAGCTCATCCCTCTTCATGGACATCCTGACCAGGGGAGTGTGTGAAGCATGATGCCACCCTTGCTCTAGTATTCTGTTCAGCTTTGGGGATGCTTACACCCCCATGCACACTCTTGCATCTTCTTATCTGTCTTCCTAGACTGACTGCATGGTAAAACAGGCTTTCAGGAGCGTCACGCTCATTCCTGGGTATGCCCGTGCTGAGGGAGGCACAGGGCAGGGATGGCAGGGACAGGAGACCTGGGAGCCCATCCTGCCAGGCCCGCTTGTTTTGTACATGGTGTACTCTAGTTTCCCTGCTCGCTCTCATTAGCTTCTGGGTGCGTGGTCTTCTAGGATGTCCCATCTGAGCTCTTCTGTTTCAGGAGCACAAGACCCAATCTGCTGCTGGGTGGAGAGAGGGGGAACTGGAGCCGTCTCCGTAACACTTGTGCTCTGTCTCACAGGCTCAAGCTCCTACCTGGATCCTGGTGTTTGGGACCTTTGGAGATGGGTCAGGATCTCCCCTCATTTGCTGCTGCCCTGCACTTGGATGCTGGGTTGAAAGCCCTCTGAAGGGCCTGGCACTCTCCATGGCAGGAACAGTCTGTAAGTGATAAAATGCCTGACTGGAGAAAACTGTAAGTTCCTGATACTACACTGTCTCCCTGCCATTCCTGAACTGTTACTGGTCAGCCATAGTCATATTTCAGAAGGGGCTGTTCATTGAGACAGGCGGTTCCTCAAGATAGCCCACTTTGCCCGAGTAAAACAGTTCCCAGAAGAGAAGGCCATGAAGACAGTCTTTCTTTTGACTGTCTTGGCCTGCACACACCCTCCACAGCTCTATCAGCTTCTTCATTCCTGAGCTGCCCCCCACTCACATATGAGTCCTGATGCACCCACCCCACTCACCTAAGAGTCCTGAGCAGCTCCCTCCTTTTTATAGCCTCTGCTGAGGTCAGTCTTGACTCTTTTCTGACTTGTGTTTCTATATCCTGCATTGTACACCTAACATCTGCATTGTACACCTAACATCTGCATTGTACACCTAACATCTGCATTGTACACCTAACATCTGCATTGTACACCTAACATCTGCATGCTTCACCTAACATCTGCATGCTTCACCTAACATCTGCATGCTTCACCTAACATCTGCATTCTACACCTAACATCTGCATGCTTCACCTAACATCTGCATGCTTCACCTAACATCTGCATGCTACACCTAACATCTGCATTCTACATCTAACATCTGCATGCTACACCTAGCATCTGCATGCTACATCTGCATCTAAGCTTGGAGAGCTTCTGGGGCCACAGTCCACTGGTGGCTCAGGCTCCTCCTCCTTCATTTGCCTCACTGCCCCTTGTCTCCTCTCGGGATCCTTTCTTTCGTGAGCACAGATACACCTGGTGATCTCAATATAAAGGCTAAACAGCCAACAGTCTACTTGAGAGCCCTAAACTGTGTGCCCTCTCCTCAAACCTCTTGTTCCACACATGACTGTTTATGTTTCTGCCCAATCTACAATATAATGACTAAGAATCTCTAAACTAAGTTTCTCTTTCACAATAAAAATATAATTGAAACCGGGCAGTGGTGACGCATGCCTTTAATCCCAGCACTTGGGAGGCAGAGGCAGTGGCGGATCTCTGTGAGTATAAGACCAGCCTGGTCTACCAAGTGAGTTCCAGGATAGGCTCCAAAACAATACAGAGAAACCCTGTCTCAAAAAACCAAAACAAAATATGCATATATATGTATATATATGTGTGTGTGTGTGTGTATACATATATATGTAATTGAAACAAACAATGTTGAAAATCTTAGCCTATTAAAATGTCTTATATATGATTAAATATATACAAGCTATCTTTTATATATGATTATGGTTTGTTGCTTTACATCTTCTACTTAGTACCAAATTGACTCAGTAAATTCATTTTAATGCTATCATGTTTCATGATATTAAAAAAATTAAGGATGAAAATATATTAATTGTTTAAATATACAAAGATTTATTGTGAAGATTAAGCTTTTGCAAATTATGAATATATTTTGCATATATATATTGCATATATATATTTTTTGCATATATATTATGAATTTAAGGTCCATGAAGGATGATACTTAAAGATAATATATATGGTATTAAAATGTCTTAAGGTCTATTGACAACAATTACAAAAACTAGCTAAAATTTTAGTCTCACCAAAGTTTATTTAAAAGTATATGATTATTAAAATATCAAATAGTAATTAAAAGTACTAGACTGGAGTAACTGATCTGAATGTTAGGAACTGTCCTTGAAGGCTATTTTAATATGGTCAGAGGGATTAAAGGGGGAAAATACTTCCCTCTCGACCTCCAATATTAATGAGGTCCCAGGGGTCTGTGCCCATCTCTAGAAATGTTCTGCAACCATGGAAAGCCACCTATTCTCTTATTCAGGGAGAACATTGAGACCCCACTCAATGAATTTTACCAGTCTGCAAAGAGGAGGGGAAGCCACAGCCAGGGTAAGAAGAGCTTTTGGCTTTCCCTCACATAGATGGACAGCTGATAAAGAAAGGCTCAAGGAGTCAGAGGTTCCTCAAAATCCCCAATGGCTCCTAAGGACTGCCCCTTCAGTTGGCCTTAATAGTACAAAAACTAAAATTAACTTTGGCTATCTAGGTAGTCTTGAGTGCCCAGAAGGAAAATGTAGACAAAATTAATAGTTCTTTAACAATTCAAGGGACTGAAGTTCTGAGATATTGTTCTTAGCCACATAAAATGTTATGTGGACAATTATTTTCCACTAACGATTCTCTCTCTCTCTCTCTCTCTCTCTCTCTCTCTCTCTCTCTCTCTCTCTCTCAGGGACTGAAGTTTTGAGATATTATATTTAGCCACATAAAATGTTATGTTATGTGGACAATTATTTTCACTAATGATTCTCTCTCTCTCTCACACACACACACATATTCTAATCGAAAACTGGCATTCCACGGTTAGAAATAATTGCCACAGATTCTTCATTCTGTACATATACTAAGCAACACAAAGTAGCATTTTACAGCTAGCTACCAATATTTTAATAATTCCCCACATTTGCTGCATTTTGCCTACACCATGGATGTCTGTCTAGAGCAGTGGTTCTCGACCTTCCTAATGATGCGACTCTTTAACACAGTCCCTCATGTTTTGGTGACCCCCAACCATAAAATTATTTTCGTTGCTGCTTCATAACTGTAATTTTGCTGCTGAGCTGTGTCTCAGTTCCTAAGACCATCAGGAAACCCACAGGTTGAGAACTGCTGACCTAGCATAAACTCCTCTAACAAAAAAGTTTCTTAAAAGTTTTTAGTATAAACACAATGATGAATAACCCCACAGTTTAAAAAGGTCAAATTACCATCTCAATCCTCTTTCTCCTCCATCAGCCTGGTCCCGTGCTTCGGTCCTTTGTGTCCCTCGATGGTTCAGGGGGCTTTGGACACGACAAAGCCTTCAGGGAGACAGGACCTGAGCCTTGCTGAGCTCTGCAATCATCAGCAGCAGCCAAGCAGGGGACGAGAAGGAACTGCATCTCCAACAGTCTGTAACCACCGGACTCAAAGACCGTTATACACGAGGTCAGGGCAGGTCAACTGTCTATCTCGTGAGACTCCACATGAGCAGGCTGGCCCAGCCCCTTCACATAAGCCCCGCCCCGCCATCCAGCCCCACCTCCTTCCCAGAGCCTCGTCGCTGCCCCGCCCCAAATAATTACGAAAGCTCCGCCTACTTGGCCGGTTCCTGTGCTCTGCTCTGTCTGGGCTTTGGCCAAAGGAGAGTGCCTCCGTGAAGGGTCCACATGCCGGGATGATGCCTTGTGCGGGAGGCGATCAAACACGCACAACTGAAGCTGCCCTCCCAACCCCGGGATCTCAGCTGACACCAAGTGCTGCTAGCTTCGGAACGGGTGGTTCCTGGAACCCTTCTTGCCACCGATCATGCTGCTACCTTGGACCTCAGAGCCCACGCAGGAGCGGCCCCTCAGTCCCTGAGACCTTGCTGGAGTTCACTCACTCCCCCACAAACCTGAGGGCCCAAGGCCCGCCAGGGAGGCTGTGGAGAGTCAGGCTGCTGGAGGATGAAGATGCTTCAGGAGTGGTTTATTTGACTTTTTTAAATCATGGCGTTAATCTCTTTACATAAAAACTTAGAATATTTTCGTTAGAGAAATCTCCTAGATAGCTTGAGTAGGACAGGGCAAAAGTTGTACAGAAAAAGCAAAGTTACACGTGTTTTCATGTGCTGGTTTTTTATGTGCTACAAAGACGCATCTCCCATTCTAAACCTTAAAAAAAATCTGTGTGTGTTTGACTACATGTATGTCTGTGAACCACGTGGGTGCCTGGTGCCTGTAGACACCAGAAGAGGGCGTCAGAAGCCCGAGGACTGGCGTTTCAGGAGGTTGTGAACCACCATGTGAGTGCTGGGCATTGAACCCATCTTTTAAGAGCACTGACTGCTCCTAACTGCTAAGCCATCCCTCTTGCCCCTAAACATCATCTTTTGATGGAATCAACAGGAGTCCATAGTGGAAAGGCGCATCAGGGGATGACAGGGGCTTGAGGACTTTATTCTGCACTCTTCCATGGAGTGTAGGGAGAGACTTGTGTTGTCGGAAAGAGCAGCAAGGGTTTGGTCAACAAGGTGAGCCCCCAGGGCAGAGTCTGACCAGCTGACATTGCAGTGGTCTGTGGACCGGCAGCTCGTCCTCCGCTTCTGAACTGTCTGGAATTGGGATGTCTTGAAGATATTTCATACAGAAATGAAAGAATAAAAATGGTGTGAGGAGACAGCTGCACACTGCCAGTTCAAACCGTGACAAAGCTATCCTCAGGAGCTGAGGAAGTTTCAGGGGAGATGCACATGGCACTTACTCTTTAGCATTCTGGTCCCCAAGCGCTTAGGAAGCAATTGAACGGCTGCAAATTTGTCTCTGCTGTGGTGATCCACTTGAAGTAATTCATGTAGAGGTGAGAGTGAGGAATGCCTGCAATTCAGGAGAATGTTAGTTAAAATAATACACAATTCATAATTTCTAAATATACAATGTTAGTGCACCAAAAAAGAGCACTATTTAGTTTTGCAAGGTAAACAAAACAGATAGTATGAAGGTGTGCAGACAGACTTCAGTGTGTGATGGGTAGTTTTTCCCAGCGTGGCACAGACTAGAGTAGCCTTGAAAGAGAGCCCAGTGGGGCCAGGCCACCCCTGGGCAGGTAGTTCCAGGATGTATAGGAAAGCAAGCATGGATGGAGGGGCCTGTGGGCAGCGGTCCTCCATCGTCTGCCCCAGCCTCAGCCTCCCTTGACGGACTTGACCTCTAAGATGACACACAGCCTTCCCTTCCCTAAGCTGCTTTTGGTCGGGGTTTTGTGGCAGTAACAGAGGAGCCAATCAATATATGTATCTGGTCTTTGCAGCAGTTGGGGTGGAGGGGGGAGGCTGCTTTTGGTTTTCCTTGTTTGAAATGGTCTCAGTAGCATCCCTGGATAGATGGGCACTTGCAGTCCTACTTCTCAGCCTCCCAAGTGCTGGGATTCCATGTGTGTACCATTGTGGTGTACCTGGTTTTTTTTAAATTCCTTATTCTTGAATTCATACGTACACACAATGAAACAGGGTTATGCCTGCTCCTATTTCTACCCTCCAATTTCCCCCAAAACCTCCCAACACAGCCCTTCCCAACGCTATGTTCTCTTTTAGGTGTTTCTGCTTTGCAGTCACATGAATCTGCATTCCAGAGGTTGGTGACTAATAGAAGACCAGGCAGAAAGAACACAGACTCCTGAGCTGCATAAGACATTAAGTGGGATGGCTCCCTCTGAGCTTCCTGCTGTTCGTTGCTTGAAAAATCTTTAAGCTTCTTGGTAAATAAGTGTGCTGCTTGGCAAATAAGATGCATGGTGTAAAAGTGTGCTTGGCCATTTATTGGCACTTACCTGCTGTTGGGATTTGCTTGGTAATGTGTTTCAGAAAACTATTTAAATTTTTACTAAACCAGGAAATGAATAGTCAAAAACAAAGACAAACAAACAAAACTACCTGCTTGAGAACAGAATTTGCCCAGTGCTGTCTAGCCAGAATCCTCAAAATTCTTTCATAGAGCTCCATTTCCTGGCAACTAAGCATTGAAATACATAAGCCTCTGGGAACCATTCTTGTTCAAACCACCACAAGCTTCTTCAGATCTTAGCACCCTTAATCCTAAAAACACACACTTTCACCAATGTAGTACGACTATTTGTCACATTTCATAAAAACCCTGCCTTTCTCCTCTCCCCTTCATTCCTCTCCCATGGTCGTGAAGGGAGGCACTGATGTGCCTGGTGTGAGTCTTGGAGCCTGTTTGTCTGCTCTCTGTATCCCCCTTATGTTCAAATATTACCCTGCTCTGTAAAGTGTCTACCTAGTTCCTCGATGTTTACCAACCCACCACTCACCCTGTGCCTCTCTGAATGCACTCTATAGTTTTTCATCGTAGGGTGGCCTTCTGTGGAAATAGCTTGAGGACAGGGTTCTTCAAAAAGGCAAGCCATGTTTTATTTCATCTCTCTGGCTTTGGATTCCCCAAAACATCATGGCTATAGGACTCTTGTTTCCCAGTGGTCCCAGCTCAAATTTGCTTCTTGTTGGGGAAGGTTTCTCAGGGTTTCACACCATGAGCGAGGTTTGAGTAAACTCCTATATGGAGTAGGAGCACCACAGTTAACATCAGTTGGCTTTGTGTGGAGACTTGCCCACAATGCTTCAGTGCTGTGGGCCCCGTGGATACATTTCTGGATTGATAGTAAAGACTCCAGACTTTTGACAAAACTAGATCAGTGTGATTGTCTCTATGGTAGGAACAAGATTTCATAGACCTGATGTGGAAATTCTCTCATTTCTTAAAACCACACACAGATTTCTCACATGACCCTTCACTTCTCTTTAAGAGAAACCTACAGCTTCCAATCCCAAGTACACTGGAAACATTCACACATTTTCCTCTCCCACTCAGGATACCCACTCCCACACATACCCACCATGGCCACCTACTTTTTGGAGCTATTCTGCACCAGTGCTTTGACACGTCTAGCCAGAGACCTATGTTGTATAGATGGCTAACTTCTGAAGCCCACAGACATGTAAGTCTGCAGTGTGGACACAGGGCTACCAAATTCTTCACTATTGGTGAACCTGTGTCCAACCATGTGATAGCATCAGAATCCTGCTCCCTTTCACAGGTCAAGTTTTCTTGAGGATCCAGGAATGTCAAGCCACAAATGCAGAGAGCTGCTTAGAGCAACCTCTGCCCTGGCAGCCAAGAGCTGTCAGTTTTAATCCTTCCCTTCCAATTACTGGCTCCTGGGCACTGCTGCATCCCTCTTGCAAGTTCTCAAGACATTTTCACCCTTCCATAATGTTCCCAAGCATGTGTATATCACTGACCTGAGAGATAAAATTGCATGTGATATTCTTTTTCCCTTGTGGTTTAATTTACAGCCAGCCCTTTAAGCTTCATTTCCTGATATTCAAAATAAGAGATTTGGACTAAACATTTTCTAAGTCCTCCATCAACTCATAGAAATTCCCTTGGGAAACCCTCAGACCTCTTTAGACAACTGATCAGGCTACCAGGAGACAGGCAACATTGACTGAGTATTTCAGGGTGGTGGACTCAGCCAGCATAGCTCACAACTAAAATCAGAATTTCTCCCCTTTAATCTAGGTGAGTTCCCCTTCTGGGCTGAGGAAACTTTAATTGCTAATGCAAAGGGCTTCGTCTCTGCAGTGGCCTGTGTCAGCTCTGTGCAGGGGCCAATGTTAATTCCACAGGTTGAGAATAAGATCACTACCACAGTTTAAGTCAAATTTGAAGCAGGCTTTAATTAAATCCTGGCCAGGTTGGTGGACTGTCTGGCCAGGTCCATCTCTGATTTCCTAGAAAATGACCCAAAGTCACATTTTACAGGGGTTTAAGAAGGCAAAACTTAAATTCACATTTCCAAAGGTCCAATCAGGTGCAAACATACATCCTCACATACTTCCTGCCTGCACATCTCCTGCCTATGTCCAATCAGGCGTAAGGATACATCCAGACATATTTCCTGCTTTCTTATGATCAAACATGCCCAGTGCAGATAAGTCAAACAAACTTGGTTAGGGGATTGAAAATATGTGACTTTTTATCTCCCATTAAACAATAGATTCCAACATTTCGGGAACTATCCGTCCTTGGGGAAAGGGCTTGCAGATCAGAGGAATTTTTGTTTCATGGATCCGTAAGACACAGTAAAACTTGCAATGTAGCTTTGGTTCTCACATTCCCCCTTTGAATTGCATACCTGCTTATGCTGGGATCTAATAACCAGCAACTTAATGGTACCCAGACAGGAATTATCCTTCAGTTAGGGCATCAGTGATGCAGGAGCCAGCAGCAATTAGCAGAAGCAGAAAGGCCAAAGGTCTTGTGATGGCTGACATCAACTAATATCTAGAAGGAGCCTGGAAATGAGAATGGGGACCAGTTATTTATTTCATTTCAGGTCCCCCTTTGTAAGCAATGCTTTTTTTAGCATAGCCAGATAATCTCTAATAATTCCTGAGTGGTTTACATAAAACAACAATTTTCTCTTAAAGCCATACAATAATCTCTGTTTTATATAGAGCAGGTTGAGTGATCTATCATATTGTAGAACTATTTCAGCTAATGAATCTACCTGTTGATAGATCTGGGTCTATTTGGTTCTAACAGGCACCTTTCCTGGTGTGTCAATAGGCACTATAGGTAGCCATTTTGTCCACCATGCCAGGGAGTTTCCTTTTTCTCTGACATTCCAGCTTGTTTGGAGACAAGGGCAACATACTCTTCTGTAACTGCTTCCTGATGAAACTAGGATGTTGTTGTCAGGGCTCAGGAGGGCTGGAATGCTGGTCAAAGGCAAGGAGGGAATTCAGGCAATGGGGCAGTCATCAGAACCAGCTGGCTCACTGACCCAGATGAAGAGACAGGGGGCAGTCACATTGGTTGGACTGGTCTACATCAGCTTTCAGCAAATCCAGGCCTCATAGTCATTTGGAGCTGATGCTCGAATGGTGTCTCTCAGCCAAGTGGAAATCTGCTGAGACAGATGTATACTAGGGACAGAATCTAGAAACTTAAAGGAAAATATTGGAACTCTCAGGCCCATAGTCCTAGTGGTTTGAGGAGGGGTGGAATCCCAAGACTAGGAGGGAGAGAGAGAGAGAGAGAGAGAGAGAAGGAGAGAGAGAGAGAGAGAGAGAGAGAGAGAGCCCATCCTCAGGAATAGACAGGTGGGGAAACTCTTAGGCTGTACTTGTGTGGAGTCTTTTTGACCTGTAGGAGGTAGATCCAAGTCTTACTCTCAATTCTCTGAAACTTAAATGATTTTTTTTAATTTACAAAAAGACATAAAAGTTTTAGATACATTAGCATTACCAATCTGTACTGAATTTCACATTGTAGAAAAAGCAGGTAACAGTGTCTGTAAAACAGCTAGAGTAGACTCACACCTTTGAGTCCTAGCAAAGGTTATAGATTTGGGTTTAAAAGCATGAACATTTGTTCCTGTTCAGAGAGCTGGGTATGTTTTAGCCTGATGAAAAGCATCTCTAAGTCTATACTTAGAAGACAACCAAAGAAAGTTTAACTCTTAAGCTCATGACTGAACAGTAAGTAGTTAGTGCTCTACCAGCTTCATAGAAGGGGAAGAAATCTGAAACATCTTCCATTTTCAATACCTTAAACCACTTACTTATACCTTTGCAACTTGCATTTCTACATCTTAAATCATTTTCTGAGATCCTCAGATCTTTATATAGTTTAAAATGTTTCCTTAGACTTCAAAACTTGCATAGACTTTAACCCTTTGTCTTTCCATCTAATCATTTACCAGAGACACAGGTAGTTATTACTGAGAGCAGTAACTGCAAATAATGTTCCTTTAGCAGAAAGTTGCATATGAAATCTGTTTGTCCTTTAATATGAAGACTGTTAGCAAGGCAAACCTATCTGCCCTTTCTCAACAGGATACCTAGTAGCTCAAGAAGAAGCAAGGCTTGATTTTTACACACAAAATGAACTAACAAGGTGGCTGTAGGATTGAGGAAGAATCTGGTTGCCTGCTACTCCTAAACTAACAAGCTGCAGTTAGCTTAGCCATCAATACCATCGGAAATCTGAGAAGGATAACTTATATCAGGAAGTAGAATCCAAATGACCTGAATATCAATTAAAATGACCGAGACTAGTCCTTTACTGATATGGTCATCCCAGGCTGCTGTGATCTCCATGGTGCTGGGGGCAGAGGTATCAGGACAGCATCAGTCTTCAGTCTCCAGTCTCAGAAAGTGAGGGGCTTTCCTGTGGAAAAGGAACATGGTGGGGGTGGAGGGGGGTGCTGATCTTACTTTGTCTAGGCAACGTAGGGCAATCAATTCTCCAGTGTCTTCCTTGTCCACAGTTTGAGCCAGCGGGTGCAGCATCGTAGCATCCTTTTCCAGTGGTTAGCATACCACAATCCAGGTGGAATTATCACGGTGCCCCATCATCTTTTTAGGAGACATTGGGGTCACTGCCAGGAGCTGAGATCTCGGTCATAGTAAGCTTTTTCCACTAAAAATTTAAAATATCATATTCAATAGAGTTTTGACAAATTTGAAGAACATTATCTATTAAGTGTATCTGAGTTAAACAAACTAGCCTGAAACTTGAAAACAAGTATAGGAGGCTAAATAAAGTCTTTTTCCTATAATTAACTACATTAGTGTTGCGGGATATTTGGTTACACTATGAGCCCCAAAATATTATTATGTACTGAAAAAATGTTTCTAGTAAGATGTGGCTCAACCCTAGCACACACCTTTAATCCAAGAACTTTCTGCTCATTGTAAACAGGATTAAATAAGGTCAACCATAGGTCAACAGGCAGAGCAAGCAACCAGTTGACAGGAAGTGAACGCAGGATTATTAAGAAAGAAAAACATAGAGAATAAGAGTAGGCGGCTGTCAAGGAGGGGGTTAGAAAGACGCACACTCCGTAGAAGGGACATTGGGTTTGAGAGGTTTGCTGTTCTTGACTGAGGGTGCAAGCCTTTGTCCTGGGGAGCATGGGACTTTGTGCACGCTTATCCATCTGCCTAAAATATCCATCTCTTTCATCATCCAGGTGGATGGTCTCTTCTTCATTTGAACTGAAGGAGCCACATCCAGGTGCATCCAAAATCACAGGGCAGGGATGGCAAGGTCAGGAGACCTGGGAGCCCATCCTGCCAGGCCCGCTTGTTTTGTATGAGCAGGGTACTCTAGTTTCCCTGCTCGCTCTCAGTAGCTTCTGGGTGTGTGGTCTTCTAGGATGTCCCATCTGAGCTCTTCTGTTTGGGAGCACAAGACCCAATCTGCTGCTGGGTGGAGAGAGGGGGAACTGGAGCCGTCTCCGTAGCACTGGTGCTCTGTCTCTCTTATAATTTAATATTCTGGGCATAAGGGGGCAGTTGGGAGGTGAGAGTTGGCATGACCTGGCCTGAGCATTCCGCCATAGCTGTGACTTGGGAAATAATGTTCCTGCAACTATGTTGCTAGCTAGTAACTAAGGCCAGAAGGCTCTTTGACAAGTGATGGGGGCCTGCCCCTGAAGCAGGCCAGGGAAGGGACCTGCAGAGAGGTGATCTACGTGGGGACACTTGAGAGTGGCCATTGCATCCTGCTTTCGGCTGCCTTAGGCAATGTGTTGACACAAAGGGCTGTGGCAGCATAGTATGCACTCATCCGAATGATTTCCTTGAATGTGATGGGAAGAGGAAAGGTCTCGGGTTTCCTGCCCCTCATTTTCACGAGCAGAGGCCAGGGAAGTCCACCTGGGAAGCTGGCAGTGGAGCCCAGCTATAAGCCTTGCCTTCGAGGGTGTATGGCTGTCTCTGACGGAGCCTCTTCCAAAGCCTGAGACTGAGCTTAGGATGGGCCAGCAACCAGGATCTGCTGTGTAGTCTCAGGGGGACCAAGGCTTGCCCATGAGGACAGGACGAGCATGCATTCACACATGTGCAGAAAGTGACACTGGGCAACGCTGTCACCCTTCCTCCTCCATGGAGTGCCCCAGGTTGCCGGTTGTCCTCGGGAGTCGGGAAAGAAAAGAGACTCCTCGATTGTCACATCTAGACATCTAGCAGAACGTTCCTGGCCCGCCTCAGCTAAATGCACTCTTATGCTCTTCTGACCAAAGCTCTGGACCCTGTGGGTTCCGTGTCAGTGATGTAGAGATCTCTTTACGAACTGAAATACAAAGAGGAGGCCTGGAGAGGTCCTGGTGTAGCGAGTGCCGTGCCTCTGGTCACCCTCATCCTCGGAGAGTTCCACCAGCATTCTGGACCTAAGAATAAGGCACAGAGGCTCTGAAGGGGGAAACTGCAAAACCGGGAGAGAGCCACATTCTCTGGGGGTGTTGAGGGAGGGCAACACTGCGGGAGAACACCACGAAAGTGACAGAGAAAGAAAGCCTCAGGGAAACATTGTTTTACGTTTACATAAAGAGACACAGATAGCTTGGGAGAAGCACAGTCAGCCCCGCCCCCTCTCTGTGTATCCTGTGCACACATCCTGAAACTCCCAGCTGTCCTGGTCCTTATCCCTGCTCAGCATAGCAGGGCTCAAGCCCATGTGCTTGGCATACTACCCCCCCCACACACACACTTTGGTCAAGCCAACAGGAACCTTAAATTTTTTGCAAATTTCCTTCAGGCGAGGTTCCAGAATTTAAGGGTGATAACGAACTCTGAGATCAGTGCCATCACCTGTTACCTGAGCAACAGGGAGCTGCAGGCAGGGGTGGAGGTGGCAATGTGGGTTTGCCATGGGAGAACTTTACTAATAGTGACACCATTCCTCCAGCCAGCACCTGGATATCCCCATCTGGGGCATCGTGTATCACAACAAACAGTCCACTGAAGGTGTGGAGGAGGTGCTGAGGGGAGTTCTGGAGCTACTGGTCACTCATTTAAAGTTGAGGGCTTTCTCTGGTTCACAAGCATATGGCCCTGGCTGGTCTCAGGATTCTCTGCACCCTGCTGTGGCTCTAAGTCTTCCAGGCCTCTCTTTTGAAAGGTGATTTAGTGGCAGCAATATAACTCAACTCACACCTGCCAGTCGTTATGATAGATGTGTCTTCCCCAAACCCAGGTCCCAAGACAGACCATATGGTTGGTACCAAAGGTCAGGGAGAAAACCACTGGCAACCATCATACTAAAGCAGGGTAGGAAAATGGTCTACATACTCCCAGGGGTGGTGACTTGCTCATGGTAATCTCCAAGTCTGTCCTCTCTTTCCATGTAGGATGACTACAGCAAACAGCACTGTCTCCTAGATACATAATTGCGTCCCATTATTGGAGTATATGAAGTTCCTTGTCGACTTGGATGATAATGTTACTTGGCATAACCATCCTGTCACCCTCACCAATTTGACCTACCTAACTACCTGGGAACCACAGGATGAAGGGCACATTAAATCCAAGTGAGCTGTCCAGGATCGTGTACTACAGGACTATCAGTAAGCATAACCTCCAAGCCAGGGACATGGTGTTCCAAATGGGTGGAGGTGGGCACTGATTCATCGGTAGAACTGAAAACTGTAGTACCACGGTATGTAGAACAACATGAGGCATATGGTGTGACAGACACTCCGGAGCTATGTGGTAATTTAACTGTAAAGATGACCCCAAGACAGTGGTGACCAGACTACCTGATACTAGGAAAGTCCCAACATACCGGGTCATACCAGTTAGTGGAATTTTGAGGTAAGACTGGCCACACTTGCCAGGTGACTCGATTGGCCATGGCACTTGGCAATGCCCATATCTTGTGGAGTTCAAGACCTGAATGGGGCAGTGCAGTGTCATGCATGACAGCATGAGGCTTTATGCATGTTTTCATTCTTAGTTGAGATCTTAATTCCAGGGGGCGGGGTGTGAGACCCCATCTGTGTTAGTCTAAACGAGAATGCCCCATAGGCTCACTGTTTGGGAAGGATTAGGAAGTGTGGCCTTCGTGAAGTAGGTGTGGCATTGTTGGAAGACATGTGTCACCAGGAGTGGGCTTTGAGGTTCCAAAACCCCATAACAGACTGAGAGTCCCTCTGCTTGCTGCTGGAGGTCAGTATGCAAAGTTCTGAGCTACTTCTTCAGCGTCATGTCTGCCTGCCTGCTGCCATGCTAGCTACCATGGTGATGACACGCTCACCCTCTGAAACGGTTCACAAGCACCCAATTACATGCTTTCTTTTGTAAGAGTATCTTGGTCATGGTGTCTTCCCACAACAATAAGACAGTAACTAAGACAGCATCTCCCACAGTTTTTGTTTTTGTTTTTGAAATAAACACCGAGTGCAACAAAAACAAAACCTATCACGTACTTCAGCTAGAGCAGTTCAATGGGCCTTATTTTTCTCCCTTGCCCTAGATCTCAGGATGGCAGTGAAGAGCCAGCAGAAGCAGAAGTGTGACCGGGGGTCATAGTTTGTCAGTGGTGGTGAAGTAGGGGCACCTCACAATCCAAAAGACTGCTCATGATAGGCAGCAGACCCTCCCACCTGGCCACTGAGACCAGATACCATGGAAACCCAGCCAGAGTCTTATCGTCAAGACAGATTTCTCAAATAATTTGCCAAAGCACAGGCCATAAGATGGGGTAGCTTTTATTCATGTGAGGTTCCCCATTTAGGAAAGCGGCTCACTGTTAGACAGGTGTGGGCATTTCCTAACATAACCAGACAGGAAGCCCAGGAAAAGTGCACCACACTCCCTGGAGGAGGAGTGTTGCAGAATATTTGATCTCACCATGACCCCCTGAGTCTGTGTTAATAAATCTTGAATCAGGGTGCAGAGTCAGTGACTAGTTGAGAAGAATCTGTCATAGAGAATATGGATGACCCAGGATATAGTGAGAGAGGCACGGGAAGGAGTGGGGAGGGACTTAGAGATTTGTGAGTTTCTGGTCCTTCCCTTTTTGGTCTTGGAAGTGCAGAGAAGGCTCCTCTGCCGCTTGTTTGATCTACCAGGTCTTCACGCCAGTGTCTGGCTTCCGAGTAATTATTGATAATAGAACAACTTAGAGAAACAGACAGAGGAGGAGGGATGAGAGGAGAAAGCAGATCTGTATTTAGGGTCAAACTCCCTTGCTTCCAAGAAGGGAAGAAGAAGGCCTGGGTAAGCAGGTGAGACAGGGGGGCTGCCCCGACCTATAGTTGCAGTGTTGGTGAGGACTGTCCCTCAGGTGCTGCGTGAGGCCCCCTTGTTGGAAGTGAAGGTGAATTTAGTGCTGAAGACACACCCCCTTTTCAAGGCCCCCTCTAACTGCCTCTCCAAGGAGCAGGCTCAAGAGATGCCCTGAATAGATAGAAGATACCTTCTAACCTGCAAAGGAAGGGATATAAGGCCTTAGTTCGGTGAACAAGGTTGGCACACCTCACTCCAGAAGACTGCCTAGGTCTCTGCACAGGGTCACAGACATGTGACCAGACTGAAGCTCGGAAATCCCAAAGCAGACAAGACCTGAGCTTTTTCATTCCTAACAAGGCCAGTTCAGCGACCTGTACTTAAGCCAACTGAACAAGCAATACTGTGAACCAGAAAAGAAAGATTATTCCATGTGGCCACATTTGTAAGATAGAAACTCTTCTCACTACAGTCCACCTTCAGGGTCCCATGTAAGGGTAAAGCTTAAATGAAACAAGAGATATGCATGATTAAGTGGCCTGGCCAAGGGTGAATCCCTGCCTATGCCATCAAGTGATCAATCTTCTGACAGACAAGCTCCCGTACTGTTCGGCCCCAGGGCTTCCACCCTTTCTCTTCCCACCCAGGGGAATTCTAGTTTTTATCTTAATAGCTTCATGACCAAAGTTAAAGACGCCAGTTTCTCTTTGGAATAACCCCATTTCTTTTCTAGGCAAGCTGGTTACAGTGAAGACCTTGGTCATTCTGTGTCCAACTCCAATTTATCAGCAGTCCAGGGCCGGAAGGAGAATTCCAAAGAAAGGTCTGGTTCCTATGAGCACGTGCTTTAAGTTAAAAAAAAAGTTATTTTAGATAAAATAGTTGTTGGGTGGTTTAACATACTTATGATAAAGGGAAACAGGGCCTCAGAGTAATAAATAAAATACTGCAAAAATCATCCTGATTCAGATGCCTCATAAACCCTGAGAAGAAAAACAATTTTTAGTTTAAAACAGCAGTTTCAAAGTGGCTTAAATCTTTAATAACTTAAGAAAATATGGAACTAACGAGTGTATTTTACCTGTATTGGTAACCATTTGATATTTAAGATGCAATGTATGCTTTCTGGGTTTTTTGTATAGCCTCTTGGGTTATAAGAAGTTATCTTTTTTAAATAAAATTTAGAAACAAATTTTAAAAGTAATAAGAAAACCACCACTTCAAGGGATCAAGGTTATAGGTGTGAGGTATATTTTGGTAAAGATTAAGAAAAGAAAAATATCTTATAGATAAGATTGTCCCACAACAACAATACAAACAGGGCATAAGGCTGTTGCACAGAGATTGTAACATTAAGCCTAAAGTGGGCATTGCCTTCTTCCCGCTTTGTTCCTGGATTAAGTACTTCAATAAAGTACAAAATTATTTTCTTTTGTGCCCACTAATGTACTCTCACTTTTACCAGAGCGTGTGGCTTGCTGAGCGTTCCCCAGGTGTCACACACTCGTGGGCGGGCTGCACAGACCCTTTCTTGTTCTGGGTTCTCCCCTTGGATGTACGGCCTCATGAACCCCTCATCTTTTCTGCAGGCGAGGTGTTGGCGGGATGGCTGCTTACCGTCCAGTTCACAGCATCCTGGATGGATGGCAAGCCTGGCTGTGCCAGGAACTCCTCAGTCTCACACCTCTCTCGGTCTGCCGATCACCGTTGTCAGGTGGCCTGCGGGATGAGCACCGTCTAGGTCAGTTACTCTGCAGCACAGAACCCATCCATCCCCAGACTGTGAGCAGTGAGGCTCACGAGCTGCTGGGTTTGCCTCTGAAGCCTGACCCTCGAGTTGAGCAATTTTGCTCATGCGCCTCATAGAGGCCTCTGAAGAAGAACGAATGTTAACACTTTCCATCTTGAATCTCCCTTAGCACCCCCCCTTAATTGTTGAGCAGACACTTGTGCTGGCATTGTGAACTATGAACTCTGTAAGGTATACGTAAGATTCATTTGGATCCTGGCCAACGATGACAGGGCCCATCCACGTCCATACTTTAGATATTTCTTTGTAATGGAAGGGTGAACAAATTGGGACTGTTGAACTCGTTTGGACAAAACCCGACGAGGCTTGTCCAGTGTGGCCATCATACAGAATGAAGTGTAATCTCATTTGCTGTATGAACAAATTGTAGCTTAACCTTATAACCCAGTCAATCGCAGCAATGGAATTTCGGCCAATCACAGAGACGGAGTTCTATCCAGTCACAGGCTGCCAGTGGGTCACATGGTACCTGGCATGCGCCTGCAGCCAATCAGGCTGTTTCTAAACGGTTTGCAGCTCTTTGGCGGTTTAACCGCAGGGTCTGCCTTGCTGCTGGAGGTAGAACAAACAGGTCGAGACGTGATTAATGTAACTGCTGTCAGCTTTTCTGTAAGGGTCCCCACCCAGACACCAGAAGAAAATCTGTCTATGTCCTCCATGGCATTTGCGGGAATTCAGAGGTGCGGGGGCTGCTGGGACTTGAACTCAAAGATTAACTACCTGGCAATATAGAAGCCACAGCATCTGGGGCCACTGACCTCCTGCCTAGGATCACGTTGCTAACTGTAGTCCTGCCTGAGAGCCTGGCAGCAACTGGTATGGAGGAGGAGAGGGGAGATTGCAATGGAGAGTGCTGGAGCAGAGCCAGGAAAGGGCAGGGAAAGCTGAAGGGGCCCTGGGAACTCAGGCTCTACAGCGCCCCCTGTGGGCTCCGGGAAAGGTGCAGGACGCCAATTTCTTTTGTGCTTTCATCCCAAGGTGGTGGGAGACCCAAGGTTGGGGAACCTGTCTGGAGGAAAAGCGAGCTACACCAACAGCAATGGAGTGGAGCAGAGTGCAGCTGCTGCCAGCCGGGCTGAGGCCTCAGGATTCACATCTCGACAGGGAAGACATTTTCCTTTCAGTGCCTCGGTGCCCTTCAGCCACTGTAGGAGCGGGCGTGGTGTTGTCACTGCAGCCAGATCCTGGACATGGCAGCAGGTAAGTCAGGGGAGCCCGACCCCACCCGAGGGGCATACGTGCACAGACTGGGTAGTGCAAGATGGTTTGGAAGGACTGAACCCCGTAAGGCCCATGTTTCCAAGGTCAAAGCTGCAAGGGCTTTGGGATTGTAGACGAGACCTTTACCATCATTGGAAGTTACAGAAGCCCTCTGCTTGCCATGTGCCAGGAAGTGACGTGAAAAAAGTGACCTGAAAGATTATCCAGATCCTTTTATTGTGTGTGTTGTGAGTTTCTAATAGATACAAATGCTAACTTTTGTGCTAAAAAGACATTGCTTGATTTTATTGGAAACAATTTATTGTCTATGGTTTAGCAAGTGAAAATCACATTAGTGACAATGCATAAAAAATAAAAGCCCTGATAGGAAAATGATCCAGATGGCTACCAGAGTGTTTCAGTCTTGCAACCCATTTCCCTGCATGCAATATTAACGCTCACCCTGCCCTATTTTGTAGCTGAAGCAAGGGAAGTTTCAGACCACTAAAGTTTGCCTCACTCCAGGGACCACAGTGCACCAAACCTGAGCATGCTTCTCTCTGAGCTTTCCTCAACAGTGAAAATGGTGTGTAAAGTGTTCAACATGTTACTACAGCAATATAAGGGTAGAGTGTGGGGTGCTTATTCCAAACCTTCAGAAGGATCCCCAAGTTGAGAGGCTTTCTGTGGTCATGTGACCATTGCTAAGAAATGGTAAAGATCATAAAGGCCTCAGTGAACAAGTAGTGGGGAGTCCAGGACCTGAACTAAGGGAGGGGTGCATATCACCACAGATGAGAGCAAATGGCTGGAGCCAAGTGAAGTCAGAATCAAGAGGATGCGTAGGCCACCTGTCCTAGAGGACATGTTAGCATATTCCAGTCCTCATGTAGTGTGGCTGGCATCTGTAAGGGCTTCTGTGACAACTCTGTGGGTTCTGGAGCTCATGTGCTGTTGCTGGGTGTTGTGGGTGTTATTTCATGATGTTTCTGTGTTAGTCAGAGGTCTCTATGGAGGGCTTTAGAAAAATCTGTTGAAGAGAGGGTCTGAGAGAGAACTTTGGGGTTCTCTGTGTGGATGTTGCTACATGTCCTTGGGGGAGTGTTTAGGGGTGACATCAGGGGTCTCTATGTTGGGAATGTGAAGGTCTGGGGGCGTGTCTAAGGGGAACCTGGGTGGGCTCTATCAGAGTCTCTAAAGATAGAGGTGGAGGAGCTGGGGAGATGGCTCATCAGTTAGGAGCACCGCTGAGGACCTGGTTTCTTCCAGGTACTAACGTCTAGTGGTGCACAGCTGTCTGTATCTCCAGTTGCAGGGATCGGAAGCCTCCACAACACTGCAGGTGTGCGGTGCGCATATAAACAAAGAGGCACACGCATGCGCATAAGTTAGGAAAACGGTGGCTGTGGCCTTCTCAGGGTGGGAGGCTCTGTGGCTGCTCTTCTGTTTTCACATCCACGTGTCCCATCCAGGCCCGGGGACCTGAAGCCTGCCTGGAAGTGGAGGGAGGCCCAGGCTGCACCCGAATTTTGGACAAGTCCCTTCCCTGTGTGAACCAGCCCTGTAGGATAGCCTGGTCTCCTGCTGGTGTCCTGGGAAGACAAGGGCTGGAAGCCCAGAATGACTTGCTGTGTGATCCCAGGTCATGTTCTTTATCATGTCAGGCCCCCTCCTCTGCCCCGAGGGTGGTGGCAGTGCCATGGGTGTGTATGAAGGCCGCCAAGGTATGAGTCCCATTCACAATTGCTAGGTCTGGCTCTCCCATCAATGAGTGACACATCGTTCTGAAATTAAAAGAGTAAGAACATGCAGAGTAGTCAGCCCTGCTCTTAGGAAATAGTATCCCTGCTTGAAGGCCCTGCTTACTCTCAGAAGTCTGTGATGGAAGTGAAGGGTCTCTCCAGGCTTGTGGTTGAGGCCAAGAGCAAGAGTCCCTGGGATGGAGTCAGAGAGAGGATGGCTCAGTGCCTGAGGTCTGGTCACTAGAGTTAGTGCTACCGCCTGTGAGGCCAGAGGCTTCCTTCCAAGGCAACCATGATTACACACGCCGAGCTGAGTACATGGAAGACAGGAGACCCCTGGGCAGGGTGACACACCCCTCAAATGCCATCTTGTGGCCCCCACCCTGCAGGCCTTTAGGTTCAGTTTGGCACGAGACAGGGGAGGGAGGCAAAGACTAGGAGGATGGCACTACCTTGTCACCCAGGCGGAGTTCAGGGACTGTGGGCCTTAGCTCTTACAGACTCAGCAGGGAGAGCGGGGGCTTCTCTCCTAGGGATTCATTTCCCCCAGGAAACAGAATGCAGGAGCTTTCTATCTTTCAGCTCAAGAGTGCCCACCCCAACAATCCCGAACCCTCCTTGTGACATGTGAGCTCCTGGGCCTTCTTGTGCCCTGCACACCCAGATCTTCACCGACACAAATGTAGGACAAAGCCAGAGGGGCAGGTTGAGCGAGACCCAGAGGTGGGGTCGCTGGCGGATTAGTGCATCTCCACATGTAGGATGCTTTCTCTGATGCTGGGATCGCAAGCCTTCAGTGCAGCTAGGGATGTGGGGTGAGTGTGAGTCTCAGTGCCCCTGTCATGTCTCTATGCTCTTCACTTCTAGAAGCTTCTTCAAGGACGACCAAATGCTGACCTTGCCTTGTGCCGAGCTTAGTACAGACAGAAGCCACAAGGCTGAAAGCTGAAAGAGAAACTCACGAAGCAGTCCCCATCCCAGGAAGAAGCAGCCATCAGCACACAAAGGGTGTGCTCGCACAGGAAGGAAAACTTTTCCTTTACCAGGATGAATTTTTACTGAAAACTTTTTCCTCTGCCAACATGCATGAGAAACATTGGGCTGATTGAGCGTGTCACTTTACTGAATGACTGTCTGATGGACACAGTAAAGGTAGACCAGAATCTGCCTCCTGTGGACTATGTGGGAAGTGTCTTATGGGGACACAGACTTGCTGGGCAGCAAGGTCTGATTGCTGTCCCTATCTGTGACCCACCTGTTCTTCATTGGATGACTGTGGTCCCTGGGACTTGGTATGATGGCCCCAACTTGTATGGCACATCACTCTACATCCTTCTAGACCATAGTGTGAAACCTGCTGGTGACGGGAGTAGCTGCTCTTGGAGGGCTGGGGTTCCTCATCTTGGCATCTTCAGTATGTTAGGCCTCTGTCAGAGCCCATGTTTTACAGCAGGTTGCCTCTAATGATGTCATGAGCATCCTGCTGTCCCATGTATAGGAAGAGATTCCTTTGGACTTAGGCCCAGCTCTGAAGACCATGTTGTTTGCATACTGCAGAACATTCCTTGTGCTTCATCTGCATTGGAATGTTCAGGTCTTGCTGTTGTAGAACCACTAGTCTTTGATGGTGCGTATTGTCCTTCATAATGTTGAGTGAATTCTTACACTGTTGTCTTCTCTTCTCTTCCTCTAATCGGTACAGGTGAAGCCTGTGCTTCAGGGGGTCCCTCTTCCTTCTGTTGTTGCAGTTGGGGTCTGTGACTCCATTGATTGCTCCTCCAGGTTCAGTCAGGGAAGAGCCTCCAGTGATGGCTCCTTCAGGTGCAGGCAGGGACACAGTTCTGGAGGTCACTCCTCTACATGCACGTGGGACTGAGGCTCTGGTGGTCCAAGATGTGGCTGGATACCTCATACAGAGAATGGCACTGGATACTGGCTGGGACACAGGTGCTCTTTCTCAGAGGCACTTCTTAAGATAGTTTCTGGAAGCCGCTGTTGTCGATGCTTCTGGCACCAGTAGACTGCTTGCTGCTCCCGGTGGGCCACTCTGATGCTCCCAGAGGGCTGCTCGGATGCTCTGATGCTCCTGGCAGGCTGCTTGCCCACTCTCACTGCACAACATTCCTAACCCTTCTCTTGAAATGCTGTTCTGGGGGAGACTGTCACTTCTTAGACAGGCATAGGGAGAACTTGCTCCCGACAGTGTGTGCTTATTTTCCTGACCTAAGCAAGGGCTCAGTTCACAGGCCTGGCAGGCCCTCACCCCTGCAAGCCTTTTTCTTGCTGTCCTGCTCTGGGCCTCCCATGGCCGCCTCTCTCTGAGGTTGTGGAAATATCCTGCTGGGACTCCTTCTGAAATCTTCTCTTTGGTGACCAGCCCCTGCTGCTCGTGGCTGTACCTACAGCTCATTCAGGGCACAGTAGTTCACCAAAGTGTCCATGTGGCTTCTATGTGCACTCTGGAAGATGCTCAGAGGGATGAGAGAGCAGGGTGGCTGTGGTGGGATCATGA